TGTCTCACCAACATAACATCGACCACATGAGCAAACAATTTTGTAGCAGCCGGATCTCGATAAGGGGTCCATATAAGTAGTAAGATGAAGCCGGATAGTGTTCTTGGTTTAGTATTAATGTGAGACTGACAAGAATGAAACCCAGCTCTGATGATGTCCATCATGTGATGGACGAAAGGTCAGCACGTTTTCACCCGAAATGACGGAGGAATACTCGTGGACTGCGTCAACATGAATATAATATAAAAGCTAAACGGTTACAGTACAACAATTTTCATCCGTCCTCATCTGGTGAGATCGACAAACAAATCTCTTCTTCATGTACTTTCATTGGAAATGAAGGTCCCCCTAGCAAGATAAGAGAGGTTATTTTGAAATGTGAGGAACGGTGTCAGAAAGTTGAGATGGCACTACTTATTATTGATTGATAGATTGAAAGTAGTGAGGTGTTGAATTGCAATCCAAAAGAAGGTGACCAAAATAAAAGTAATTAACAAAGCCATTCTATATCGATCTATGTTTTGAATTCTCGTTTGCTCAAATGAGACCATACAAGAGGCAAGATCGATGCTGATAGCATTCTTGTCTTAGAATTGACCTGACAATTTTACAAGAATTAGTCCCAGCAAATGATGGACGAAAGCTCAGCCAATTTTCACGGAAAGAATGAAGGTGGTCTCGTAGACTGATTCAATCACGTCGCATTAAAGCCAAACGGCTGCAGTACAACGCGATTCAACCCTCCTCTTCCGGTGAGATCGACCTTCGAAACTCTTCTTCTTCTTTTTCTTCTTCTTCTTACACTTTCATACGAAATGAAAGTTAAAGCAATAATGTTATCTCAGCAGATTCATGGGAACCCAGTTACTCTTCACATTTGATAAGACTAGTTGAGGCGAGTTCGAGACTGCAGTCCACTCGAGCGGAGATGGAAACACCTTTTGGGAAAGTAGGTCTCGGTGAAATTCAATGCAACCGTCTGCACTACTCACACGATTGTGGGAAAACTCGACTAACCGTCCTTCGTCGCCTTACACGAAATAGGCTGACCACCTCTCATGAATGAGTTTGTACAGTCGAGCGTCGCTTAGGGCCAACCTGCGCATGTGACGATGCGAAGGTACGTCTTCGTGACCCGTCGGCCTGATTGGCTTGGAAGAAAGCCTTCCCGTGGTGATGCTGACCCCGCCTCGGAGAACTCGCCCTCTTTCACACATACACACCCACAACCCTTCACTCCAAATGAAAGTGAACTCAACAATCTTCTCAATCGGCCCACCGCCCTAAAAGATACCTTCTCTGCACGACCGTACCGTCAAGGTTAGTTTTGTGTCGCCTGGGCGACGGGAATCGGTTCTGGAAACAAGTGTCGCACACCATCCTGTATCAGTGGGTGGACGGTCCGTGTGGTAACTTGGTGTATGGACAAGCGCATAAAGCTCAGGGTGTATAGACAGATATGGTGACAGAAAGATGTGTTTTCAGCAGCGTAACGAGTTTGCTAAAGCAGACGTGGTTGAGATGATGATGGAAAAAAAGATGAATATTTTTAGTTTGTAAGTAGTCGCTCGTGACTACTATTAACTCGGCTCTATGAAATGTATTCATCTTATTTCGTTTAAGGTGATGAACGACTGGTAGAAGCATTTTCCCACAATGAAATTAGTACAACTGACGCTTCCATTGGTGTTGCAAGCTGTTCTCATCCCGGCTTGAGTGGACTGCAGTTTCGAGCGCGCTTCAACTGGTCCAATCAAAACTGCCAGCGGGACTCGAACCATGCCAGAATGCCTTTTGGGAAAGCAAAGCTATGTGAAATTCAGTGGAATCGTCAGCTCTACTCATAAGATTGTGCAAAAAATCAATTATCAGTCCTTGCTGACTTTATGAAAATGGGGGAAATGCATCTCATAGAACGGTGAATAGATTAATATGAGATGTATTCACCCAATTTCGTTTAAGGTGACGAAGGACTGGTAGAAGAAGAATTTTTCCACAATCATATGAGTTGAGCTGACGTTTCCGTTCAATTTCACATAGCCTTGCTTTCCCAAAAGTTGTTCTGGAGTGGACTGCAGTTTCGACCTCGCATCGGTCTTATTAACACCCCCAGCGGGAGTCGAACCTTGACAA